CTAAAGTTGAAAAAGTGAAAAAGCATAATAGGACACCTTTAAGACAATGTTTATCTGGTGCAAAAACACAAACATGTAGAAACAAGACTCCAGGAGCGATCTACACACAACTACACCTGATTAGATATCAGTCATGATGTTTCCAGTCTGTTTGTATGTGTAGGGTCATCACATTTACCACCTGATTTATACACTATACAAACATAAATAATGCTTTCTGATGTTTCCATGGACTTCTGCTACTGTATTGTGATGTATTTTCAATCTAAGCAGATATCAAACTAGAAAATAAAAATGTAGGGCAGACGTGATTTCATCCAGCGCTTGTTGATTGGCATGTGAACATCAGAATTAAGGCGGATCTGAATGATGAGTCACATCAGGACGATTAAAAATAACAGATCAGAATAAAATACACAGATGAATCATTTACAGTAACATGTAGTAAGAAAATAAAAGGGGTTCATTTCATTCTGACTTCAAGGAGACTTAAAAGTGTTGGGTTAAGAGAACTAAAGACTGCAGACAGTCCAACAGGGAAATGAGCGAACATGAACATGTTGAGGAGCGACACACAGATCACACCCTCTCGGAGTCATCAGCAGTGGTTCAACGGATCACAAATTAGGGCAGTGCAATTAATCGCATGTGATTGTCATGCACATCTCGTCAGTAAAGCCGGTTCCGTGACTAGTAGTAAATCTCCATCATGTGTTTTCAGATGGAGTGGCATTTAATACAGTAGTTCACTGACAAGCTACGCAATATCGCGCTGATAATCACAGAAGAATCGCCTTCGATTATGAACACGATATTGCGTAGCTTGTCAGTGAACTACGGCTCTGTGTATTAAATGCCGCTCCATCTGAAAGCACATGATGGAGATTTACTACTAGTCACGGAACCGGCTTTACTGATGAGATGCTCATGACAATTGCATGCGATTTATCGTGCAGCCCTAGTATCCAGATATAAATTTATTACCCATTCTCAGTGGGAAAGTGCCCAAGCAACACTGCTCAAAAAAAGTTGCTCGGCAACATTGTTCAAAAAGTTGTCCCGTGTATCATAAGCCTTAATGAAATCCCTTGCCTCAGGCTTATGATACACGGGGCAACTTTTTGAGCAATGTTGCCGGGCAACTTTGGTTAATGTTGCCATTAATAGGCAACCAGGTGATACACAGGGCCCATGACCAATCTTAAGTATCCAGATAGAAATTTGTTACCCATTCTCAGTGGGAAAGTGCCCAAGCAACACTGCTCAAAAAAAGTTGCCCCATGTATCATAAGCTTTAGGGAATTTTTATTAGGTCAGTGGTTTTCAATCCTGTTCCTCGGGACCCACTGCTCTGCACATTTTGCATGTCAACCTTATCTGACACACTCATTTGAGTTCATGGAGCTCTTTTCTAATGAGCTGATGATCTGAATCAGGTGTGTAAATTAGGGAGACATGCAAAATATGCAGAGCTGTGGGTCCCCAGGAACAAGTTTGAAAACCACTGCCTTAGGTCAAAACATTTAAGGACTTTCATGCAACCGGGCACAAGAAAACAAGAGAATAAAACACCTTGCTGAGCTGCGCTGGATCCGGGCCGGGCCGCTGCTGCTTGACGGCGCGCTCGATCTCCAGCACGCTCTTGCTGAGGATCTCCATCAGCTGCTGGAAGGACACGGAGGTGCCCAGAAGACCCTTGGCTCGGTCCTGCAGCATGAAGGAGAAGAGCTCGGCGAAGGACAGCAGGCTGCTGGCCGTCATGGGGCTGAGCGCGTCCAGGTTGCTCTGCTGCATGTCCAGAGCATACTTCCACAGCTTGATGCAGCGCTCGAAGTTGCCCGAGTCGGCGTAGACGGCCCCGCGGTAGCGGATGTAGTAGGATGTGTCCGGGTGCGACGGGCCGAGGATGCGCTCTCGGATCAGCAGCGCATGCATGCGCATGTCGTCGGGGTCTGCGATCAGGCCATCCAGCTCCTCAAACGTGTTCACCTCCTTGCTGTAGTCGTAGGCCGGCACCAGCTGCTTGGGCTCGTCCTTCAGGAGCACGTGGTTGGGGTCGCTGTGCCGCAGATCCATGGCTCTCTTCCAGTACTTCAGCGCTCCCAGCAGGTCTCTCTTTTTATCCACAAACGTGGCCCCCAGCAGCTCCAGAGCGTTGATGCGCTCCGTTCTGCCCGTCTGAGGGTGCTGCGTGAGGAAATCCACGATGTTGGTGTGGCCCGTCACACTGGCGGAGAGCAGCGGCGTCATCCCGTAGCCGTCCTTCTCCATGGTGGAGCCGTACTTCAGGAGCATCTTCATGATCTCCAAGCTCCCGGACTCAGCGCAGTCGTGTAAAGCCGTGTTACCTTCAAGACAAAGAGCGCACAGAACGCAAGTCGTCAGAGATGCATCGATGAATATGACAGACATACTACAGTCACTGAAGATAAACAGAAGCTGCGCTAAAATACAGTCAAACCAAAAATTATTCAGACACAAGATATAATTTTTACTAGTGGGTGCAGGACACTATAGTTCATTTATGTAAGTGAGGATAGCAAAATAAAGTAAACTGTGACATAACCAAAAATTCTTCATACAGTGCAAAACAGATAAAAATTTGGGACCAAAAATTATTCACACTTTGACCTGATCATGTTTTGCTTAAGTGTTTTTTCTTTAATTGCTAATGCGACCATTTTTACACCACAGACTGAACAAAATTAAGCATAATTTTTTTTAAATCATTAAAGTAGCTGCTCACATCATATTTAAGGTACTGATGCTTGCCTACAAGACCACCACTGGCGCTGCACTTCAACGAGCCGAAGAAAGCTCACGTCACACCTCTCTTCATCAGTTTGCACTGACTGCCAGTAGCCGCTCGCATCAAATTCAAGGTACTGGTGCTTGCCTACAAGACAACCACTGGTGCTGCACCGATATACCTAAACTCGCTAGTTCAGACCTACACGCCCTCCAGAAGCTTGTGTTCTGCAAGTGAACGACGCCTCGTGGTTCATCCCAAAGAGGCACAAAATCACTCTCACAGACCTTTACCTGGACTGTGCCCGGCTGCTGGAACAACTTGCCGATCGCAATCCCAGCAGCTGAGTCTTTAGCCATTTTCAAAAAACATCTAAAGACACATCTTTTTCGCCAGCACCTGACCAATTAATACTAGCACTTACCTATTCTATTAGTTTTGGTCTAATTTATTTATTTTGAAAAAACACCTTGCTATGTGCACTGTGCTAGACTAACTGAGACTCGTCACAGCACTTGTATATTGCTGCTCTCTCGTTGGTCTGATCGCTTCTACTTTGTAAGTTGCTTTGGATAAAAGCGTCTGCTAAATGACTAAATGTAAATGTAATTACACACTGTTTAATGCAGGACATGAATGCATTTAACCTGCAATTACAAATGCATAAATAATGTTTTGATATATGAATCATAAAACGTTGAATAGATACTTTAAATGTTAAACTAAAACCGCCAGTAGGTCCCGTAGCCGTCCTTCTCCATGGTGGAGCCGTACTTCAGGAGCATCTTCATGATCTCCAAGCTCCCGGACTCAGCGCAGTCGTGTAAAGCCGTGTTACCTTCAAGACAAAGAGCGCACAGAACGCAAGTCGTCAGAGATGCATCGATGAATATGACAGACATACTACAGTCACTGAAGATAAACAGAAGCTGCGCTAAAATACAGTCAAACCAAAAATTATTCAGACACAAGATATAATTTTTACTAGTGGGTGCAGGACACTATAGTTCATTTATGTAAGTGAGGATAGCAAAATAAAGTAAACTGTGACATAACCAAAAATTCTTCATACAGTGCAAAACAGATAAAAATTTGGGACCAAAAATTATTCACACTTTGACCTGATCATGTTTTGCTTAAGTGTTTTTTCTTTAATTGCTAATGCGACCATTTTTACACCACAGACTGAACAAAATTAAGCATAATTTTTTTTAAATCATTAAAGTAGCTGCTCACATCATATTTAAGGTACTGATGCTTGCCTACAAGACCACCACTGGCGCTGCACCAATATACCTAAACTCGCTAGTTCAGACCTACACGCCCTCCAGAAGCTTGTGTTCTGCAAGTGAACGACGCCTCGTGGTTCATCCCAAAGAGGCACAAAATCACTCTCACAGACCTTTACCTGGACTGTGCCCGGCTGCTGGAACAACTTGCCGATCGCAATCCCAGCAGCTGAGTCTTTAGCCATTTTCAAAAAACATCTAAAGACACATCTTTTTCGCCAGCACCTGACCAATTAATACTAGCACTTACCTATTCTATTAGTTTTGGTCTAATTTATTTATTTTGAAAAAACACCTTGCTATGTGCACTGTGCTAGACTAACTGAGACTCGTCACAGCACTTGTATATTGCTGCTCTCTCGTTGGTCTGATCGCTTCTACTTTGTAAGTTGCTTTGGATAAAAGCGTCTGCTAAATGACTAAATGTAAATGTAATTACACACTGTTTAATGCAGGACATGAATGCATTTAACCTGCAATTACAAATGCATAAATAATGTTTTGATATATGAATCATAAAACGTTGAATAGATACTTTAAATGTGAAACTAAAACCGCCAGTAGGTGGCAGCAAGTCACTGTTAATTAGTGAGTCATTGCGATTGAACCGAATAATTTAAACGGTTGATTCATTCAGGAACGAAACGCCGTCCTGTTGCTCAGAGACGCAAAACAGCGCTGTGGCTGTGAATTATTTTTGTTGTCGAAATAGCGCAAACACAAGAAATATATTGTCTAAAACATAAGTCTCTTAATTAACTTCTTGTTTATTGAACTGTTGTAAAAAATCAATTTAATTTGTAATCATGGTAATTTTTGGAGAAAAAAACGGCACTCTTCGTGTGAAACTGATTAACTATTCTATATGAAGTGGTATAAATATATAAATGTTCTGCCCCCATGTCTTGAATTTGTGATCATTCTAAATGTATTTTAGGGTGCTTTCACACCTGGCCCGTTGTTTCGGAACCTGGCGGGATTCCCCCCTTAGCTCGGTTCGTTTGGGCATATGTGAACACGGCAATCGCGCTCGGATCCGCACCAAAACAATCGGTCCGAGATCGCCTGAACGAGGTGGTCTCGGCTCGATTGAAAACGAACTCTGGGGCGGTTCGGTTGTAGTGAGAAAGCAATCCGATCTAACGGACCAACGAACCAGGCTATATCACAATGTATAATGGGTAATTACGTAAGTTCCGTGAAAAGCATTAGCTTTGTTGTTTTGCTAATACTTCAAAATGAACCTGTGAGTGTCTGTGGGTGAGCACGTCTTCGCCATTCAAAATAAAAAAGCGCACTTTTTGATTTTATAATGCCGTCTTATTGCTCTTCTTTCTAGTAGGTGCATTTTAAAAATGTTTTCCCGATCAATCCTGGACTCCTGCTCAAAATGATAAATTAATATAAGGACAGCTACAAAAACAAAAAGCTGTTGTCGTTGCATCCTGACGGATGACAGCTGTGACAGCTCAGTGGAATCCCGGAAAATAAACCGTGGAACTTTGACCAATGAGACAACCGTTTACTCGCGCGTGACTTGTATTAACAAATTTGGTTCGTTTAGAAACTTTGCGGTGTGAAAGCGAACCGCACCAAGAATAAAAAGCAACATTGTAATAATTTTAATCCCTGTTTCGGAACAAAGCAATCGATCTACAGGTGTGAAAGCACCCTTAATAGACTGAATCATGCCGTGAAAGAACACTCTCGCACTAGTCTAGACTTCATCACGTCATGTATGCGTGCACTCTGTAGGGGTGTTTTGTTTGGTTTTTGCAAAATACTCAATAATGTCAAATCACACATCATTAAAACAACAATTGCGATATTATCGCAGATGATAAATATTGCGCATCCCTAGTCTCACCTTTCACGCTTTTCCGGTTGACATCGGCTCCTTTCTCCAGCAGGTACTGCGCGATCTCCTTGTGGCCTTTATAACATGATATCATGAGGCAGGTGTGTCCGTGCCTGTTGGCCACTTCCAGATCCGCTTTGTGCTCCACCAGGTATCTGACAATATCCAAGTGTCCGTCGAAGCACGCGGCTCTCAGCGGGGTGGAGTTCGTAAGAGTCGTATTGTTCACAGACGCACCGTGACCCAGCAGAGACTGCACGACTTTCAGATGTCCGGCGGCCGAGGCGGCCCACAGCGGCGGCGCTCCCTCGATGATCTCCCCGTCGAAGTTCACCGAGCCTCCGACCTCCACAGATGCGCAGCAGCACTCGATCAGGTACTCCACCAGCTCCAGGTGCCCGTACCGCGCGGCCATGAGCAGCGGCGTCGCTCCGTTGGTCTTCTCCGCCATCAGTTTCATCACGTCGTGATCGCTCTTGTTCTCTAAGAGTTTCTGGAGGAGCCTCAGTTTGCCGTCTCGGGCGGCGTTGAAAACAGCAGTTTTTAAATCCATGGCATAGGGTTGCCCCGCGGCTCCGTCCTACAAACAACAACAACAAGATCAGATGCATACATTCTCATGCTTTCAATACAAGCTTAATTTGTAGGGATGTAACGCTGCAGCCTGATAAATCAATAAAAATGTGATGATTCAAGTCGGTTGAGATGTTAAACGAATCGCGATACAATTGAGGGTTTATATGAATGCGTTTATATGAACGAACTGACTGTCGTCAGAAAGTTTAGATGGTGTTTTCTTTTTATCTTGTCTCTATATCATGCATATTAAAGCATTGTTTGTTAGCTTTGTTTACAGCGGTAATCAAGGAAACACTGTATCGCTGCAGTTCCATGAGTGCCACCTGCTGGCAGAGAGTGCATCTGCGTCTCATTCAGCTCGTCTGCTGTTTCTGTTTCCTGCAGATATGACTTACAGTGCTGGCCAAAATCATTAAGAGCACTAGTATTATCAGCAGCTAAAATGTTCTGTTTCTTCATGTGACTCCAGACAGACTGATGATGATCAGAGCTCAAATCTCACTGCATTATTACAATTAATGGCAAAATGAATGTTTGGAAATGTAAACTGATATTTCCTACTGACACACTACAGCAAACGATAGAAATAACTGACTTATGCATAACTGTCTGGCATCATGAGTTGAGTGACCCGCTGCATCCCTGTTACACTGTGTTTGTGAATGAATGGTTGCCTCATGTCTTTCCAAACCCGCGTGGCTGACAGGCTTCACAAGAGCTCCGTGTTTAAGCAATATCCTGACATTCACAAATCACACGACACACTAAGAGCTCCAGTGGATTTCCAGCTTGCATTTGGAGCCGTTCCTCACAGAGCTGTCATGACTTCAGAAGTTATTACAGTTATGGCATTTCCAGCAAGATATTGACACAATTAATGACGACACAACTGATCTCGAACTGTTGCTTGAAGGTGTTTATGCCGCAGGTAAGGTTAGTGAGCAATCAAACCAGCGGCCTATTGCATAAACTGCTTAGACTAGTCCTAAAACTTAGTCATCCAGTCATAAAATGATCTATTTTTACTCTGAAAAGCATCAGGTTAACTGCTAGTTACTCAAACTAGTTCTTCAGACCCAGTCTTAGTTATGTGTGCACACCTGACCCCTGATGAGTGGCGTTCAGGAGTTTCTGTCATCTTTAGCATGTCATGATCCGGGTCAGTTTTGTGTATTATTCCTACACTACTTACAGCAGATAACCAGAAACGGATATGAAATATTGCTGGAGTGTATATGACTTTATCACGTGATCAGAAACATGAAACTAGCACAGCTTTCTTTGTATATAATCACTTAGCCTACTATATATTGAATCATTATAATGACGATCAGTCAGGTTTAGAGTCATTATATGTACAGATATTTGGCCGATCACTATCATTATTATTATTATTATCATCGTCAGTGTAGTGTTCGCTGTTCAAGGCTGTTGACATCCAGCACGGCTCACTCAAGAGTTAGCATTACAGCTGTTTCACGTTAGCTTTTAACCTCAAACTACACAGTTTAACCAGTGTTCTCTGCTGTCGCAGACAGAGCCGTGATGTGGATCATTATCGTGTCGTTAATTAGCGAACAGACCGAAGGCCGCACTCACCGCTAACTTCCTCGCACTGAACGACAGCTCCACAGACTGCGACGGTAACGCTACTTTAGCTCATACCGAGTCCAAATCATATATAACGTTAACGATAAAAATAGCGCTGCCCTCCCCCGCTTCCTGTAACATCGAGCTCCTCCTCATTAAACACACTCGATCGCTGTTTCACGAACTCCAGAGCCTCACGAATCCGACATTATGCTGCTTTTAAGTCCATTTCTCGGTTCTGTCGTCCAGATCTTGACGAACGCTGCTGATTTCCCGTCAGTAACCGCGGCCCGAAGGTTCCGCCCCATCGCGGGTGATTGACAGCCAGGCGGACCAATCACGACGTCGCTCAAACGTTTTCCATTTAAAGGTAAACGAAAAGAGTCACAACGCGAGCGCTTTTAATAACGCGAGCGCGTGAGGAGCGAACGCACCGATTCTCGGAGATTGATGAAAGAGTCCGGTGTTTAACTCCTCAGTGAGCCTTGAAAACACCGATTCACAGAAATGAACGAGGCGTTAAAGATGACTCTTCCTGCTGTTCGCTAACAGCGCCCGCTAGAGGCCAGAGAGAGCCCGACTGATGGAGAATACACTGTAATACTGTACAGTGCGTGTTGATATTCCGCTCATATTTTTTTAATATTTGTAATATTTTTTTCCAAGCACATTTTACCAATTCCAAACCACATTAATCTTAATAACTACTACTGATTTTGTATTTAATCATGTATAAGTTATATATTGTGTGTATGTGCTGTACATGTGGAAGAATTGACAATAAAGCAGACTTGACTTGACTTGATATATAATTGTTAACAAGGGCTGGAAGTAGGCTAACAGAGTCATATTCCTGGGATTCGATGGCTTTTGTGTCCCCAGTAAAGATCGGGATGTTATTGCCTTAACATTTTCAACAACATCAATTTTAAAGTTGTCTTTGATGTAAAAAAAAAAAAAAAAAAAAGCACCTTGTGAACTTTAAGCATATTTAAGTTTTTATTTCTATATAATTCTAAACATTTTACAGCATTTGAAACCACCAAGTATCACCATTTTTCTAAGTTCCCAGGCCCGTGTCTGCCATTCTGATGATGAACACAACGCTTAATATGAGTGAATAAAAAAATAAATAAAAAAAATTTCACCTTATTTGGTATATCAGTAATAGTTTTATTGAATGAATATATATTTTCCAAGTATTAAATTCATGAAAAAAATTAAGATTTTTAGCTTGTCCCTTGAATTATTGTCCACCCTGTTATAGTCGACTACTGGCCCTTTAAATGAAAGTTGGAAAAAGTGAATTTATATCTTAAACAGCTGACGTAATTTCCTTGAAGGGAAACCACTGGGGAAGGTGAATGAGAGCCTCTGTTTTGTTAATTGTCTGTTTTTGCTTATTTTATCTTTCCAATATGATGAGGTCAAGTTCGACATGTCCACCCTGTTAAGGGGAATATGAAAAAAAAGTAACTAGAAATTCTTATTTGTAAAAGTACCATTTTTTAAAATTCTTTCTTTGACAGATCTTCTGTGTTAGCATTTTTTCTCAGACTGATTTTAGGTCAAAATTTCCACCCTGTTGAGTCAGAAAGCCTAAGAGGCTGGACACATTTAGTGTACAATAGTGATAGTGACAGCAGTTGATGTTTACGTTGAAGAAGTGGTGTTTAAACTTTTTAAATATGAAATTTTACATTTTCAGAAATATTTAAAATTGTTGTTCATTTGTCCCTAACAGGGTGGACATTTTTGGTCCTCCTCCTCATTTAATTTGGCTCATAATTGCTTGAATTTATATACCTAAGGTTGTATATACCATATATTTATATACCAAAATTATTTTTCACGTTTTACAGCTCCCCATTATGAGTACACTAGAATTAATTTTAAAAAATGTTTCATTTTTTTTTAAGTGTTATGATGTCGAAAAGGCACAGGATCCCAGGAATTAACCAAAAAATGCCTTACTCATGTGTGCATAATTATTAAGCAGGCTTTCTTTTACAGGTAAAATGCACCAAAAAAAGAGATTTAACTCTATTTAATGTATATTGATTTTTCTGCTTACTACTTGATCTGTGCATGCTTTGCCAGTGTTGTATGTAAGCACAATCATCCCAGTAGCGTGCTTTTAAAAAGAAATTGATTTATGAATCATTGATTTCACGTTTCTGCTTTATTTTTCTTACAACTGTGGGAACTGTACAAAGAAAACATTTGCTTTCATGCTAAACGCAAACGAATGTGATCACAAGCAGTGATTCAATACTGAAGAAACCTGTGCACACTAATAATTATCTTTACACAGCCAATGTCACATTTACACTGCAAAGGCAGCACAAAAATGCTTGTGAAGTGGCATTGAGGTGTCTTTACACAGCTTGTTTAATGCTGATCAGAGGAGGCAAAGAGCAGAGATCTGCTGTAGAGTTAGGCTTTATGAGCTATTACAAACTAGGCTAGTGTAAAGTGTGAAACAATCCTTTAAACTGGTGAGTTTTGCTGTAGGTTATGCAGACAGATCCACACCTGAACGAATGGATGGAGTCAATACACAACCAGACATATACAAATGAAGCCATCTTAAGGCCTTTTAATCCACCTCAGCTGATCAGATTCTGTGCCGTGAACCTTAGATTTCTCTTCTTGCAGCTTAAAATAAATTATACTTGATAAGATGTGCACTTGAAAAGGACTGTAGAGTTCCTCCAGACATTTATTAACCAATTCAAACAAGAAATCAATGCACCGCTAAAAAAAAAGAAACACAACAATTACACCAACGTCATGAAAAGAAAAAGACGACTAGGAAACATTTGCAAGGATGCTTGTTTTGTACAACATAAAGCTCTCTTGGATTCACACATGAAGATTGAACGGGTGATGATGATGATGATGATGATACAATCAGACGACTGGTGTGTCAAGCCGGTCTACAGTGTCTGTACATCCTTTAACATTCACATACATGTAAAGAGTCAACACACAGCCACAAAATAAATAAAGCAGTTTAATTCTCAGCGCTGAAATATTCTGCAGGATATGAGCTGAGGATCACACACAGGACTAGAGAAAACAAGCTCAAGGCGTTTGTTTAAATAACTCATATTTGTATAAAACCCCTTCGAGGTGACCCGGTTATGACCCCACGCGGGTTGTAGTGGTTTTCTTGTCTGAGAAGAAGCTCCTGAGAAGCAGCACCTGACTGATGCTGACCACCAGCAGGATGAAGGCCTCTCCGATGGACCAGAAGGCCACTCTGGTGTTCAGATCCTCCGCTCGACTGCGGCCCTGAGCCTCTCGCAGACGGAAGTGCGTCTGATAGTCGATCACAGACTTCAGAGCCTCGTGAATCGAGACGCAGGCGGATTCCATCTGAAACAAAGCAGCAGCATTAGACGCGGTCTCAGCAGATGCTGGTTACTTAGAGCTGATTACAGTGCTGGCCAAAAACATTACAATCAGCAGATAAAAATGTGTTTAAGTCAGTTATTTCTATCGTTTGCTGTAGTGTGTCAGTAGGAAATATCAGTTTACATTTCCAAACATTCATTTGGCCATTAATTGTAATAATGCAGTGAGATTTGAGATCTGATCTGATCATCATCAGTCTGTCTGGAGTCACATGAAGAAACAGAACAAACTGAGACAGACTCAATCCAGAAGAACTGATGCTTCGAGAAACCTCCTGCAAAGCTCCTGAGAAACTCTGCTCAAGTGCACCGAGGGCAAAAGCTGCTTTAAACACAAAGATGCTCACACCAAATGTTGATTTCATTTAGTTAATAGAAGCTAATTGATAAAGAAAATCTATTTATGACATTATTATTGACAGCATCCTCATTTTACGTAATTTTTACACAAGTGATAGATAGATAGATTCTAGGCGGCTGCTAGGGTGTAGCTATGCGGTTGCTAAGGTACCCGGGTCGGTTGCTAGGGTGTAGCTATGCGGTTGCTAAGGTACCCAGGTCGGTTGCTAGGGTGTTGCTGTGCGGTTGCTAGGGTACCTGGGGTGGTTGCTAAGGTGTTGCTATGAGGTTGTTAGGGTACCCAGGGTGGCTGCTAGGGTGTTGCTATGTGGTTGCTAGGGTGCCCGGGGCGGTTGTCGTATTATTGACAGCATCCTCATTTTACAGCTTAAAGTGCCTAAAACTTTTCACAGTTCTGTAGCTTTGCAGGAGGTTTCTTAAAGCATCAGTTCTTCTGGATTGAGTCTGTCTCAGTTTGTTCTGTTTCTTCATGTGACTCCAGACAGACTGATGATGATCAGA